TTCTTCAATCTACTATTAACATATTTCTTATGAAATTCTGAACCTTGCTGAATATATCCTATCAGTAACTGATCTACTTAATATCCATTTACAAATATCCCAGGCAACACAGTATGACATCAAACATGAGTGAAATATAATGGGTAATTTCTGTGCCTATTTGCTTGTTGCAGTTGCAAGAATGGAATAGTCAAGACTGAATTATCAGGAGTAAGTTCCGCAGTTTCTATGTGCAATAAAACCCATTTTGCATATTGAGAATCAAGAGTTATATTAAGATATTCTTTAGCCCGCTGCTCCTGTGTCCTGTCCCCATCTAGAGCACCCTTGGAGCTCTCATACACCCCCACCCATCCCTACCGTGAGCCTGGCCCCCCTACCCTGTGCCCTACCCTGCCCACTGTCCCGCTGCTCTTGTTAAGCACTGGGACAGAGGGTGGAGCCAACAGTCCACACGACTTCGGGGAGTTCTGGGGGAAATGCTGAACACAGGAGACCTGCCTATCCACGTGGGATCACCTGTAATTTCCACCTGCATGGTCTCTGACCCACACCTCTAGTCCTCTGCTGGAGTCCCGGGCCCCTTCCAGAGATCTGCCTATCTCTCTGGGTCCATTCTGAGTTCCTGCCTGCAAGATCCTTGACCCCAAAAGCAGGGCCTCTGCTAAAGAAAGAGGCCTCAGCTGGAGAGTGCCAGCTCCCTGTGAGATCGGACTATCAGTGCAGAAACATCCTGAGTATCAGCCCAGCCTTTGTTCTCTTCTGCCAGCCATTGCCTAGAGCCATTGGCTAGAGTCCACACTACTTCTGGGGACTTCTCAGAGCGAATCTGAACACAGGAGACCTGCCTATCCACGTGAGACCCCTCATAATTCCTACCTGCTTGGTCTCTGACCCCCACCTCCAATCCTCTGCTTGAGTCCCGGACCCCTCCCAGAGACCTGCCTATCTCTGTGGGACCACTCTGAGTTTCTGCAGGCATCTTCTACTGGATCCTCATCCCTGACCTCACCCCCGGGTCCCTGTCTGCAGAGAGACCTCATATATAGCTTGGACCACCCAGAGCTACAGATATTGAACTTCTGGCCCACATAAGCCCACCGGGGAAGTACCATAGAGAGAGGGGGAGACCCCACCAACACCTACTGGAAGAAGCTATGGGAAGATGGCAATAAAAGAAAACACCTAACAACCGAAAGACAAGCATGACACCACCAGAATCTAGGGAATCTACCCCAACTAGAACGGAACACAACAACAAAGCAGAGGAAGAAGAAGGGAACAAATTAAAAATTATCATCATAAAATGATAGAGGCTCTCAAAGAAGATGTGAGAAAATCCCTTAAAGAAATGGAAGAAAAAACAAACAAGTGGAAGAAATGAACAAATTCCTTAAGGAAAGTAAAGAAAGTACAGAAAGCCAAGAAAAAACAATTAAGCAGGTGAAGGAAATGATTCAAGACTTGAAAACTGAAATAGAGAAAATAAAGGCAACACAAACTGAAGGAATGCTGGAAATAGAAAAACTGGGCAAAAGATCGGGAACTACAGATGCAAGCATAACCAACAGAATTCAAGAGATGGAAGAGAGAATTTCAGGAGCAGAAGATAAACTAGAGGAAATAGATTCAATGACCAAAGAAAATCGTAAATCAAACAAATCCTAAACACAAAACATCCAGGAAATGTGGCACACCGTGAAAAGGCCAAACCTAAGAATAATAGGCATAGAGGAAGGCGAGGAAGCCCAGCTCAAAGGTGCTGAAAACATATTCAACAAAGTCATCGAGGAAAACTTTCCCAATCTGAAGAAGGACATGGCCATGAAAGTACAAGAAGCATACCGAACACCAAATAGGCTGGATCAAAGAAAAAAGACCCCTCGACATATAATAATCAAAACACCTAGCATACAGAATAAAGAAAGAATATTAAGAGCAGTGAAGGAAAAAGAACAGGTAACATATAAAGGCAGACCTATCAAAATTACACCTGACTTCTCCATGGAAACCCTCAAGTCCAGAAGGTCCTGGAGAGATGTTCTACAACTATTAAGAGAACACGGATGCCAGCCCAGGCTACTATACCCAGCAAAACTCTCAATCACTATAGATGGAGAAAACAAGATATCTAAGGACAAAACCAGATTTTCCCAATACGTATCTACAAATCCAGCCCTACAGAAAGTACTGGAAGGAAAACTCCAACCCAAGGAAATTAACTATGCCCACAAAGACATAGGCAACTGATAATCTAACTACACCAGAAACCAAGGGTAAAGCAGAACAAATATATTCACAATACCATTGCCAACAACAAACCTAAAACAAACAAGCATCAACAATCAATGGTCCTTACTCACCCTCAACATTAATGGTCTTAACTGGCCAATAAAAAGACACAGGCTAACAGAATGGATACGAAGACAGAATCCATCCTTCTGCTGCATACAAGAAACACATCTAAGCTTCAAAGATAGACATTACCTCAGGGTAAAGGTTTGAGGAAAGATCTTCCAATCAAATGGAACCAAGAAGCAAGCAGGTGTGGCTATCCTAATATCTAACAAGTTAGACTTCAAACAAAAATTGATCAAAAGAGATGAAGAGGGTCATTTCGTATTCATCGCAGGAGAAATCCATCAACACAAAGTCTCAGTTCTGAACATCTATGCCCCTAATACAAAGCCACCCACATTCGTAAAAGAAACGCTACTAAAACTCAAAGCTCATATAAAACCTCACACACTTATAGTGGGAGACTTCAATACACCACTCTCAACACTAGACAGGACCACAAATCACAAACTCAACAAAGAAACAAAAGAAATAACAGAAGTTAGGTCTCAACTGGTGTTAACAGATATGTATAGAACATTCCATTCAAACACAAAAGAATATAACTTCTCAGCACCACATGGAACCTTCTCCAAAATAGATCACAGACTAGGTGGCATAACACACCTCAACAGATACAAGAGAATAGGAATAGTTCCCTGTACCTTATTGGACCACCATGCTTCAAAATTGGATTTCAACAAAAACACAAATAGCAGAAAACCTGCAAACTCATGGAAACTGAACAATGTGTAATTGCACCACACCTGGGTCAAAGAAGAAATAAAGAAAAAAATTAAGGACTTTCTAATATTCAACGAGAATGAGGACACTACATACTCGAACTTATGGGACACCTTGAAAGCAGTGCTATGAGGGAAGTTCATTGCACTAAGTTTCCCTATGAAGAAAACAGAGGATAGTACATAAGAGAATTAACAAAGCAACTGAAAGCCTTAGAACAGAGACAAGCAAACTCACCCCATAGGAGTAGAAGCCAGGAAATAATCAACTTGAGGGCTGAAATCAACAAAATAGAAACCTGGAAAACAATACAAAAAATCAATGCAACAAAGAGTTGTTTTTTTTTTTCAGCTGGACAAAGCAGCCTTACAGACTACAGCCAGGATTTCTGAATCTTCTTAGAATCCCCCACGACAGTGCCCTTTACCAGCAGGAAGTAGTTTGGAAAGAACAACGCCCAAATTCCCAAATATTGTTTATAAATGTTTGTTTTTATTTAAATGGACTTTGTTATATAAAATAAATTTAAAAAAATTAAAAAAAAGAGTTGGTTTTTTGAGAAAACATCAAGATAGACAAACCTTTATCTAACTAATGAAAAAGCAGAGAGAGAACATACAAATTAACAAAATCCTTTGATTCTAATTGATGCCCTATTTTGTCCATAGGTTATATAGATTTTTAATATTTGCTACTAACATGAGACTAGAAGATAACTAGTGATAAAAAAATGAATTTTTTTAAAGAAGTAGACTGTACTATCAGGACACTATGATTACAAAATAACTGAAGAGATGCCATCAATTGTTACCATGTGCTCCACACCAATACCTCCCTCAATCCTGGTGCCTGACTCTTGCCAAAATGTAATACATTACATTGACAAATCGCATGGCCAAATTGATAAACTAGTATTAATTAGTCACTAATAAATGTAAGTCATTATACAATGATTCAAATTCTCTGTTGTTTCATATTTTTATTGTATTTTTATATGAACATACATCATAGCTAGAGTTTAAAACACAACACTTCTTATAATTTCTTTGTGAAATGTGTTAGGTAAATGTAAACACAGAGATATTATATTTGTAAATATCACTACATTCACAAAAAAGCAAAAAATTTTTGGACCCAAGGCTCTAGGTATAGGGAGGAGGTAACTTGAGTATGTATCAATAGACTGGTAAACCATGTTTTTAAAAATCAGCAGAAAAATAAAACTTCAGATGCAAACAAATCTTGATTTCTGCATTGAAATAAATTTGTCACTTGAAAATGATAAATTCAGAAGGATCACTTAATTATTCAGAAATGACTATCTCTATAGCATGGGGCTTATATACAATATTGGTTACACTGCATGCATAGGTACAAGAAGGAATATTCTGTCACTACTGCAGACCAAAGTAAAGTAATACTAATATTGACAGTCTTTAATTGTAGAGGACGTGCTATTATGCTGTTGTGATTTAGCCACCACTCACATGTGAATTTTCTGGCCCTTTGCATTTCATCTACCACGTAATTTTCTGGGGTAATATTTGAATCATCTTAAATTGCTTTTGAGTGAAAATTTTTAATCCATACTTTTAGTCAAAGCACTAAGAGGTCTTCATGCCTTGGGAGTGGCTCTCTCTGGTACTTACTGAAATCATGCTGCCGTGAAGATCTACAAACATATTTTTCATTTTGTTTTTATTTTGAATGAAGGACTCCAGATGCACAGCCTACAGGAAGAAAGCATTTAAGAATTCCACAGGGAAGTAAAGAGTCTGTCCTGGTGACTTTAATGACAACTTCAGTCATCAGTAAAATAAAAAACACACAGTACACATACACATAAGCTATGCATGTACTTACTAGACATTATGTGGCCTCTCTTCACAGATTTATATCTTCACAGAGATTCTGTTAATATGATGTTCTCTTATATTGTTATCTCCTACTTACTGCTGATTCCCTTTCTTTTGTGTTCCAAGGATGTTAATAGGTGCTTAGTGAGAAAAAATTACCGTTTATATCATGAAGGAAATATGGTGATTGCTGGCTTTTTCCCTGCTTATGCTGTCTCCCCACTCAACAAAACAACTGATTGGAGAATGCCATATTATGCCAGAGAGATGATGGTGCAGTAAGTTTCTTTTTCTATTTATTCCTTTCATGTTCTAAGCGGAGTATGGGTTCAAACATCACTATTCCTTCATTACTCCATTAGGACATACCTTATTTTCAATTCATAATTCTCCTCTATAATATCTTTACATTTATATTGATTATATGATTTTATCACTGGGGATGAATTAACTAGGTTTTTGTTTATTTTACTTCCCATGTCTGATTCTGTGAATTTCTCCCATCTATTTTGTCATGCCTATAATTCCTTGGAATTTGACTAATTTCAATGTTATCTATCATGGCGAAGGATCATGTAACAGGTTGCTATGGAATTTGAAAGAATTATACAAGTCTAGCTTTGCTCCTATGAGAAAGGATGATGCCATAGAAACAGGTACAAAGATTTCCTCATGTGAGACTAGAGTGTCAAGTGTTGCCTGTGTTACCTGCTGCAGACTTGAGAGCTAGAATGTTAGAATTAAATATTGGAACATACTCTCTGCTTTATCATTGCACTCTATGAGGTTTTGTATTTATCGTTTCTCATTTATTTTTATATGATAATTTTACTATATTTACAAGCTTGCTGTATGTGCATACTATATGAGCATACTATAATGCTCATTATCTGCAAACATTTATGGTCATGGAGGCCTTTGAGGAATCTTTTTTTGGGGGAGCATTCTTGAGTGTGTAATATTAAGTAGTATTGGACAGGCTGCTTTATTTTCCTGAAAAAGAAAACTACTCATGTATGTTGGGGCATGAAGATCTAGTGTATTTTATTTCAGGAAGACAGTCCTATAAGAAAGGGACCCACACAGAAAAGATTTAAAATTTAAAAATATAGATGGTTCTCGACTCTGTACAGAAGATAGAAGAAGAGATATATGAATTCATGGAACCATTTTGGGAGAAAATGTGTACTGTTACTAAAAGGGAACATTGGAATTATAATGGATTATTGCCAGAGTGGCATTATTATATCCTTGCTAAAAATTGATTGTGAACTCAATAACTCAGAGAGAGATTGAAGTAAAATGTTGAAGTGTGAAATATCATTCAATGCTAATGATATATTTAAAAAGTTAGTCTTAAATTGGAATGTCATCAATAGCCACAGAAATCCAAAACTTGCTTTCAGATGAAATATTTAATGTGAGAGCTGATCAGCTCGTGATCATATTTTGCTCTAAAGTTGTCTTCAATAGCTTTTGCAGCTTGTGTGCTACAATGAAATTCTTCAGTTTAGCAGATAACGCTCTGGTCCTCTTATTCTCTGCTCTCTAATCTCAATTGAACAAACAGCAACGTGTCCATCTTCATGAGTCCATCTTCAGATTATGACACTCTGACTGGAAAGAACACTCCTGCAATCACATAAGTTTTCAGTGGCTGGCTCATCCGGCATGTTTAAGAGAAAGTGGTATTTTAGGAAGGTTTAATATAATGCAGGTAATTAAAATTTAAAGTAAACATCATCTAATAAAATATTTTGAGATAACAGTAAGTAAACATTTATGTCTTTTAATGTTAAAATATTCAATAAAATAAACATTTTATGAAACAAAGTAAGTTAATAAAAGGCAATTTCCACAATGCAATATTATTTAACATGTTTGATCTATTCAATACATTTTCAAAATATGTTTTTAATAGAGCTGGGTACTCATAAAAGCATAAAATTTTCAAGCCTGAAAAACTGCTTTCATGGATTTGACTAAATATTTTTCATAGCTATGAGATGCTATTATGATTTTGTAGGAAATATTGTTCTTTCTCTTGAGTTAAATTTACTCACATTATAATTCTAGCTGCAAAATATATTTATCTTAGTTACCATAAATAGACTAGATCATGGGCTGTGGGGGTGGCATTGCCTTCTATTACACTAATATTTCTGTGATTCAATTTCCTGGTTAGATTTTACTTTTTATTATCATAAGTGTGGTGATAAATGAAGTTTTGCTAGGTACATATTCTAAAAAGTACAAATATTATCTTATTAAAGCAAATTAATTTACAAAAGCACAATATCTTAGTAAAGGATTTGCATATATTAAAATTTTTTATTCATAGTGGTTGACATCCCACCATGATAATACTAATAGCCATTTTTTCCACTATTTATAGGAGAAATTTTTTTTTAAATTTTACATGTTGATCCCAGTTCCCTCTCCCTCCCTCCCTGCCTCCCTCCCTTTTACCTTCTCTCCTCCCCGCACATGCACCCTGATCACCCTCTCCTCCCATCCCCCTACCCCAATTCCACATGTAGGGCAATGCTATCCAGGTGGGGTCATGTAAATCTGTCAAGTCATTTGAAGTAGGGACTAGGACTTCTCTCCTGTCTCTAGGTTATAGGAGAAATTTTTACTGAGAAATATCTGAATTGATGTGTCAGAGTTGTTTTTCATCAATTATAATGTATATTGTATGTTAGAAACATGATAATAATTTGGTATTAAAGGAATATATTCTGTGGTGCATTAACTTTAATATTTTTCTGTTTCACTGGGTGTTTTCCTTTTATTGGCTATTTTAACATTAAAGAACATAAACATTTACTCACTGTTATTTTAAGATATTTTTCTATATATTTACTTTTAATTATTTTGACATTTGTTCAAAATCTGTCAAGGTATTTTTATTCTTCCTCCTTGCCATATGTCTCCTACTACAGCTGTAGCAAAAAATGTTAGTTATGCCATAATATACTCCTTCAGTAATAATTCAGACCCCCAGGGATTTTATTTTTTCTGAAAATAAAATGATTAAGTGATTATCAATTTATATGTTGATTTACCTATATTAATATAAATAGAAAAACTAAAAAGTTTGTCTTAACTCTCCTGCTATTAAATATAAGTGATGTGATGCAGGAAACAGAAAACCACAAAGATTGTTTCTCTGTTTTCCATCTGTTCCTCCTGAAAAGTGTGATGCCATTGTCATCCTACTAAAATGTGATTATGTTTTTAACTAATTTTTATTTAAATAAAAAACATTATTTTACATACCAATCTCAGTTCCCTCTCCATCCCATCCTCCCACTCCACCCACTGTCTCCCCATCCCATCCTCCATCCACTCCTGAGAATGAGGCCTCCCATGGGAAATCATCAAAGTCTGTCACATTTTGGGGGAGGACCAAGCCCCTTCTCCTGTATCTAGGCTGAGAGAATATCCTTTCATAGGGATTGGGCTCCAAAAAGCCAGTTCATGCATTGGTATAAACACTGGGTCTACTGCCAGTAACCCTATGACCCCAAGTAAAAATCTAAGCAATAGTGGAGAGGCTACCTTAAACTCCCTTCCTCTAATATGAGATTGGTGACTACCTTCAATGCCATTATATAACATTCACCCAGTAGCTGATGGAAGCAGAAGCAGAGATTCACAGCTAAGCACTGGACTGCAAAGGGGGTCAAGACCATGATGGGGAAACCCACAGAAACAGCTGACCTGAGCAAGTAGGAGCTCACTGACTCCAGACTGACAGCTGGGGAACCTGCATAAGACTGAACTAGGCCCCCTGAACATTGGTATCAAATGATTATTTCTTAAAAACATATTTTGGAAAAGTCACATTCTTTCCAGGTTATTTGTACCAATTTTCTCTAATTCTTTTAACATTTACATTTCTGAATTCTCAGTAGTATTTACAAATGTCTGTTAAGAAAACATGCAACATCAAAATATATTAACTGTAATGATATTTATACCTATTTGTTGAGTAAAAGATGACAAACACATGCATGGATGTGTACCTGTGAAGATGTTAACATATACTATTCATCTTCATTTAAAACTTTTAGTGATACATTAATTGGAGATTTTGTGACATGACATTTGTTATTTAAACCAGGCTTCTCAAGACATATGGTGTAGCATGAATGCAATGCAAGCACTTGGGAGGTAAAGGCAGGCATCATTCTCTGATTTCAAAACCAGCCTCATATATAAAGAAAGTCCCAAGCAACCCAGTTCTACAAATTAGACTGAATATACTATTTTGCTCTTAGGTGGCAACATGCTCTATATTACACAAACACATTGTGTAAACAACTTTATATAAAAATTAATGAGAGATAATATTTAGGTGTTATGACCAAACCCCTCGTTAGTGTCTTTTGTCTTGGTTCTTGGTAGAAAGAAATGTAGACTGTAAGCCCATGTGCTCCCAGTAAGGGAGATGACCAATGTTCGATTTGGTTTGATCTGCTGTGTTCATAGTGCATATAGAGGATAAAGGAGGCCTACATTACATCACCTCTAAATGTGAAAAAACTTGTCAGTGTATGACAAAGTAAATTAATAGACTCATCCATTTTGTAAATTTTGTATAAAAATTCCTAAGAATGATTATGTTCTCAAAAATTTGAGCAATATAGCCCACTAGTTAGTAGAACACAGAAAGGTCTTATGCTAAAATGTTCATATTCCAAATGCATTTAAAGTTATTGTGACATAAAAGCAATTCATTGAAGTGTTTTGTATACATAGGGAATGAATGATGCTTAATGAAATCATATATTATATCTATATGTTTAAAGTATCAATCCATGTTAAATGTAGAGAGAGGATTAATTTAAATGACATTTAAAACTTGAATTTCTTTATGTGTTTTTTTTTTTTCCCAAAAGACTTGTCTGCTGACAGATGAACACCAGGAAATTCAACCCGATCCTCTCCTGTCCCAGTCACGCCAGAAAGAGAGCGCCTTTCCTGGCCCCCTCCGACCTCCTACCACAGGTCACTCCGCCCATGGCTCCACCCCCCAATGGGCGTGGTCAGTGCCTCAGAACTATCTCACTACAATTTTCCTTTTAGTCTAAAGAAAAGATTTAGGCTTAATACAAAACTATATACAAAACAGTGAATAACAAGTGTGCTCTAAGAAAAGGAAAATCGAGAACAAAATGACCTACATATCTAGTCCTAGGGTGAGGGCAATATGGAGTTTACAATAGAGTTGTCCTAAGCTGGAAAATGTAAGTCTAGCACCTAATATATC